GCAGCGTCCCCTCCCTGTGTAGATCGGACGGAGTTTACAACAGACAGTGAAGGAGCCTCTCCAGAGGACGGTGGCTGTGCCATCCCATCCTGTTGTCACACAGCTACAGTACGGTTAGCATGCACATGGCATAGTCGCTGCTCCAAACACTATGAAGGGATGGTCACTGCCAGCCTCTGCCGTGAAAACTGTGCCCCTTTGCTTGTACTCATCCCTCCCACCCCCTAATCACTTGCCCAGTATGCCGTCCTTGCCTTGACATGCCATGGCTGAATAGCTGCGAACATCACCCCCTGCTTTCCTGCTGACATGTCAGCGACATGCCATATGTCGTCAATGTTTCCAGGAAGCCGTCATAGAAAGTGTGTGTCTCTACCGCATGGACTATCCCCGGTGCTGTCATCGACCACACCCTCTCTTACCGTGTCCCACATGCAATGTTGGGCATACACCTGCTGCAATCGCAGCCGGATCTCCTTCATCCTTGCCAAATGAAGGACAGACGCAGCAGCCTAAGGAGGAAAATAGACTATCATATGAACCACCTACAGAGCGCTGTATTCAAAGGTTGTTCCCACCAGGGCGGGTTGTTGCAGACCAAATCCTGCAGCAGCTAAACACTCTGGCTTTGGATCAATCCCGGTTGTAGTCTGAAACGGTTTTCACCTTTCTGCGGTCACAGATGCAGGCCCTACAGTTCGATCCCCAGACCTTACCTTGCCCATGGACAGTATCGAGTTGACCCCCGAATGTTTGAACCCGTGACCTGTGTTTTGGTAGTTGGTTGTTGTCTGTCGTAGGTCTGTGTAGTTGTAGGGGTTCGATCTGTAGGTCTGTTGAGTAGGGGTCACAGCTCTGTAGAGGTCGTAGCTGTAGGTGTTCTGAGAGGTCAAGGTCGTAGCTGTTGCAGTCCTGAAAGGTCAAGGTCGTAGCTGCTACAGTACTCGAAAGGCCAAGTCCACAGACTTCCGGAAGGTCCGGAAGTGGCCTTTCAAGTTTCTGCTCACGTTTTACACAGTAGGCCAGAGGCAAGTGGGCAAGTGGTGAGTCCAACTTCGCTTAGTCAGTGGTACCCAGTCCCAGTCTCACTTTGCACCGTCAGCAAGTACCATGAGGGACCGTGTGCACCTTGGGCCCAGTGGAAAAGGGCAGACCAACGACTTAACAGAAGTATAAATCAAGAGGCAGCGCCCAGCCATTATTCATTCGCTGCGTAAGCCATGCAGAAGTGCTGCTTCAGCACCTTGTGCGAGGTGGTCTGCAGAGCGCCCGAAGTCGAAGTGGGCTAAGAGAAGCTAGCGTAGCCATATTTAGTAGCTGTTGAGCGGCCATAGCCGCTGTAGTGTTAGGAGTTAGCGGGTGTGCATGAGTGTGTGATACAGTGAATGTGTGTGGGAGTATTCAGGGTGATCTCTGAGCTGAGTATGGGCGAACAGTGGTGTTTGAACGCAGTGACGCGAGTTGGGCTGTGTAAGCGCTGATGCGCCATAGCTTGTTGAAGCAAGTTTCTCATCTGAACTGTGTTCTCGCTTGTCATATCTCTGAGCTTTGAGTGGGCGTTGTGCGCCAGTGTGAATCACCAACTGTTTGCATGCATACGAAGTGGAAAAGAAAGCGAGTCTGATTGCAAGTCTGCCCGTAGAGAGGGAATAAATACTGGGGAAATCCATGAAACCTGCTCAATGCCGCTCTGTGATCACCCGCCTCAGGTTCGGCTAGCATGTAAACCATGCCATGAGGACTATGAAGGGATAGCCCATGCGAGTTTTCATTTTCATATGTATGAGGACAGTCGATACTGCACTGATGAACGGCACCCTGACATGTCATGTCCAATTTGTAGACAGGGGCTGGAACGTCAATGCCTCTACAATTGTGGTCGGCGTGCCTCGGTGTTCCTAGCATTACGCCATGCCATTCGATGCAGCAACTGTGACTAAGAGCATTGGATGTGGTGCTTCCAGAGTCCACACCCAAACCAGTCCTGTCCGGTCTGTCGGGGTGGCCACTTGGCAATGGCTGCTCCTGAATTCAAAATATTATGCAACTCAAAGTTTCAAACACTGACTAGCCTCATGTGTCATTCTAGCCTAGTCTTCTCCAGTGGTGCGTATTTAGAACCCTGTGATGATAACTCCACCTCTTATTTCCTTCCTACTACTACCGTCTTCACCCGAAAAGAAAGTGCGGTCATTATCGCTGTACGTAAACCGAAAGTTGCACCAGATATGGCTATAATGACCGGGTGTTCTATTCGGGTGAAGACGGTAGTAAATGCATATGAATGAGCATCATTAAGGGAACAGACAAAATATAAGCTGAAGATCTGAGGAAAAATGAACAGGAATATACCTCCGCCTTTACTCTGCCTCCTTTCATAGTGTGCAAGTGGGCCGTTATGACGCACGGGGATGTGGGCAGCTCACGCTCAACCACAATCAACGTGGCAAGCCAAAGTGTTTTTGTAAAAGTGGAGTTGCAAGAACAAAGCAAAGGATTAACCCCAAAAAAGCCAAAGTGAACACAGTTAAGAAAGGGATTTAAATTTTAAACGCTTCTATTATGCTCTGTGTTGCTTGCTATGGAGGTAAAACTCTTCATTGTTGGATTGTCTCAAACTCCAGTGTTTTCGTTGACTGCAATAGTACTAAAGCTGCTTCAATTTTGGATCTACTCATCTGGGCTGTTGTGGTGAAAATTCAGAACACACACACGAGTCGTATAGTGAACACAACACACACACGCCGTCACCACACACACACACGCACACACACACACACACACACACACACACACACACACACACACACACACACACACACACACACACACACACAACATACACACATTCATTTTTAAGCTAGGACTAGGGCATGCTCACAATAAGAAGACTTTATAGGGAGTTCAAGTCGGTCAATAGTGCGGTTAAATGCACAGAGTAAGGCCCGATATAGTGTAAGCATGCCCTTTGTCTCTTGAAGCTTGAGCCAGCATCCCAGCTCCTCACCTCAATGGTATGATCCTTCCGGCAGACGGCAAGGTACACCGCCTGACGTTCCGGAGCCATTCCCTCAATAAGAGGCTTCCGCTCACCCTGTTTCCAACAGACCACGCAGAGAGGAGCAGAGATAAGCAAACTGAGATTAGCACAGCACTAGTTTGAAATGCAAAGCGAAACAAATTCAGCAAAACATGTTCTCAACTCTTCGACCCAGCTGTCGAATAGTCGACAAACCATTGAGAAATTTCAAATTTGAGATACAACAACTGGACTGGCTAAGACTCAGGGCCTCGCCACACCACTGTCGAAATCGAAACGGAAAAAGAAGGAATGCATCTTCTGCAGAACGTTGTAAGATGTGCCCGTTGCTATTTAAAGTAGCGGGTGCATCTTGTGAATTCTTGTGAGTCTCTGCGGGAAGATGCACTCGTACTTTTGTGGTTTCAAGTTTCAACAGTGGTGTGGCAAGGGCCTCAACGATAAATATGGGGTACCTCAAATGGAACATGGGAGAGAACACTGAGGTAGACAGACAAGTGAAATGACACTGTTTGATTAAAAAGATCATGAGCAAGTATTCGAGAAACAGATCATGAGATCAATTCCTGATGCATAAAATAACAATAGCCTTTGCTGCCCCCTGCATCATAGAGAAACGAAAAAAAGAGAAGAAGAATAAAAAGAGGGAACGAGGCGTCATTTCTGAGAAACTGGGGCCTGGTTTGAAATGGTTTCACCCAGTAGACCCGACATTTGCAGACACAGAGATTCGATCCCTAGACCTGTGCCCAAACCCTGTACATTGACCCTGTGTGCTGAGTGAGATTCGATCCCTAGACCTACCCTTTACCCTATACATAGGCCCAGCGATCTGTGCAAGACTCGATCCCTAGGTCTGTAGATTAGGAGTTAGGTCTGTTACCGTTAGGCTTCGGAAGGTCTGTTCTAGAAGTCTCTATCTGAGTCTACTGAGGCCTAGAGTCTGTTTGTAAGTTGTAGGCTCTAGAAGGTCGTAGGTCCCTGTAGGCCAGTCCAGTCAGCAAGTACCAGGGGTAGGGGGGCTGCACGTGGGGAAGGTACTGGACCACGCTGTGGGTCCCACACGTTTTGGCCAGAAGGCCAAACGTCTGGAAGCTTCCCTGGGTCACACGTTTTGGCCCAGACCCACACGTTTTGAGGCAGGGCCCGGGTACCTCTAAAGAAGTATAAATAAAGAGGCAGCGTCCAGCCATTCATTCATTCGCCTGTGAGCCATGGGGAAGAGCTGCCTTGGAATCTTGTGCGTGGAGGTCTGCAGGTGCCTGGAGAGGAAGTGGGCTGTGAAGAAGACAGCGGCCATAACGAACCAGCGAGGGAGACACCGGGGCCCATAGCTAGAAGGAGGAAGACGACGGCGGCCATAGCCGCCCAGCTGTTGGTGTAGACAGAGAGTACAGAGTGTGAGTGGCTGTGCAGCGTGGACATTCAGGGTGATCCTCGTACGTGTGTGTGCATGCGAGAGTGTGGGAAGTGAGGCTGGTGGTAGAGACAGTGTTCGGCGGCCATAGCTGCAAGTTGTACAGTTGATTCAGACTGAGTTTAATACAAGTTTATTGTTGTTTCTGAGTTGGAAGAGTTCGATTTTGCTATCGGTTCTCAAGTGTGCATGTTGTGAGCAAGTCCAGAGTCGAGTCTGATTGCAGGTTACTCTAGCAGGGGGGTAGGATCGAAGTAGAACTGCAATGTCTTGTATGGGTCAACTAGGACTGCAGCTCCAAGAAAAAGGGAGTCTGTGCAAAATAAATAAAACAGGGAGGATTCCCCTCAAAAGAAGGGAGAAGGCTTAATAAGTTAGGGGATGCAGCGACTTACGGGCAGGGCCGGTGAGGGGGAGAGCACAGGCATATAGAAATAATGGGCGAGCTCTTTCTAGATGACATAGCACTATCTGGCAGAGCTGGTTTTTTTCAGGTCTGAGAGGAAAGAGGGAGTCACAGCAAGCTGACAGTCAATCCTTCACCATTGGTGGAGCAATCAATGCTGTTCAGGGGTCCTCCGGCCAAACGGGAGGAAGCATGAGTTTTCTGCTGTAATGCAATGTTTCTTCTGACTTGCCGGTGGAATAGGAACCGGACTGACGCTCCCCAGAATAGAAGGAGCTAGGACCATAAGGCCCTGCGTTTATTAAAAAAAAAACAGGGAGGATTCCTTCCGGACATCCGTTAAAATTGGAACAATACAGAGAAGATTAGCATGGCCTCTCCTGCGCAAGGATCACACGCATAAATCGAGAAATGGTCCAAATAATTGACCAAATTGGCAAATTAAAAAAAAAAAAAAAAAACAGGGAAGTACAGGGAGACTTTCAACGCTGTAGATATGGGGGGGGCATGAAGGTGGAGGAATTTTGGAAAAGATGGAATCAGTACCCGCACCTGTTGACTCGTGATTCTGACACGGGCCGGTTACAGTTCGGCCCTGTTCTGCTGTGTCGCGTGCCCCGGCTGGAAAAGGACCCAGAATAGGAAAGCTGTGGTACTTCCATGTTCCAGGGGCGGAAGTGATAGAAGTAGAATAGTTGTAAAATATTTAGGATGGCCCCGTAGGAGGTAGGTCGGTTGTAAGATATGGCTCGGTGTGAGTACGATCACGGGATGGAGGGAAAGGAGGGGCATAGCATAGGAATGGTAAAGGGTCGAGGGAGTGAATTTTAGAAAAAAAACAGTCTAAAAAAGTGGCGAAAAAGGACAGTACTTGGGCAACATGCTGAGGATATTATTTTCAAGAGCTCGATATCATGACAGTGAGGAGGGGAGGTGATGAGGGGATTCTAAGTTTGACAGGGGGGAAGATTAGAAAGAGGAGCAGATTCATTTGAAGGGCGAAACTAAGTAGGTGAGAAATAGAAGGATTAGCAGGCCTTGGTGGTAGTGTTTTTTTGGACTGATCATGGGAATGCAGTAGGGGTGATACACCCTGTGAGGCTGCTAGAACGACCCTCCCCGCACCATGATGTTCCTAGAGTCCTTCTGCTGCGTGACTGGCTGCTGCCAGTAAGCTTCCTGGCCAGCAGAAGCCCACTAGGAAAGCAACGGTTTGGGGG